ATTTTCGTCGCTCCCATTCAGCCCCTGCGCTGGATGGTGCTGAGGTCGCCCCGCTGCTGCCGCCGCTCGCACAGCTGGAGCCCGCTGCCTGCCGCCTCTGCTGCCGCCGCCGGCCTGGGCCCAGCCCCCGGGCTGTCCCTAGCCTGACGCCTCCCACCCCCGGCTGGGAAGGGGAGGGGGTGGCAGCTCGGTGCCCCTCCCCACCCCACCCCCGGGCCTGCTGCAGCCTGCTCCTTGGAGGCGGGGAGGGGGCAATGCCCCGTTCCTCCAGGTGCAGTCCATAAGCATGCGCTCCTGAGCACCCCCTGCCCCAGCCTGTCCCCTGCATCCCGGGCAAAGTAGCCTGACGCCTCCCACCCCCGGCTGGGAAGGGGAGGGGGTGGCAGCTCGGTGCCCCTCCCCACCCCACCCCCGGGCCTGCTGCAGCCTGCTCCTTGGAGGCGGGGAGGGGGCAATGCCCCGTTCCTCCAGGTGCAGTCCATAAGCATGCGCTCCTGAGCACCCCCTGCCCCAGCCTGTCCCCTGCATCCCGGGCAAAGTGGGGGGCTCCGACAACCCTGAAGCAGGAGGAGGAGGCGGCGGAGGCAGCCTGTTGGGAGAGCGACCCTGGAAAGCAGCAGTGGCAGCCGGCATGTTGCAGAATGTGAATCCCCAGAACAAGTAGGTACCTGCGCTTCTCCGAGAGGGGGCATGGGGCACTGGGGGGGAGCCTGGGTTGGGGGGCACTGGGGTGGCACGCATGGGGTTTGCTGGGCCTGGAGCCTACATGTGTCGCGCCTGTATATTGCAATTACACCGCCAACAAGGAAGAGGATTTTGACATTTTTTCTGAAATGTTATTCCCTGCACAACGGTTTGCGCTTTGAATCCAAAACCTTCAGTCCAGTTGCAGAGGGTCAGTGTTGCATGAAGCTGGGGCTGCCTCATTGATGCGTTGCTTTGGCCTAGCCTGCCCCAGCAGGGCACCTGCCTCTCATCCAGCACCGAGTGGGCCCTGCCAGTGGGATGGGCGATGGGGCTCTTGCTGTTTAACCCTGCTGTCTTGCACCAGTTCCTGCAGGGGTCTTCTGATGTGTGTGAAATGGGGTGCTGGTGCCTGCTATTGCCTTGGTAAGGGGACCAGTGCTGTGTGCCTCACAGTGTTGCATTTCCATGTGGTGGGTGACTTGATTTTCAGTTGTTTTCTGGGCCTTGCACTCAGTTTGGGGGCTGGCCTAGTCATTACAGGGGCTCCGCTCCAGATTGGTTCATATTCTTGGTGCTGTGACCTAGTGTGTGGTGGAGCTGTTGGGATTGTGCTTAGGGAAGTCTGTCCCAGCTAGTTTGGCAGGGGGCCTACCCACCCTGAAGGAGAGGCCCCATATTACTGCAGTCTTGCTTTATGGCAGCTGCACAGGAGTGGGGCCTGCCCTGGCTTGGGTGGGGAAAGCTTGTGCGCCCAGGCTTGTGGCTGAGGGTGGAGGGCTGCTGTGATGGGTGAGTCAGGCATGTGTATACCTGCCCTGTGTGTGTATGTGGCCAGCCTTTTGGCTTGTCCCTGGATTGCCCTCTGGGGGAACAGGGATGTAGCTTCTGGGTACCAGAGCCTGCAGAGTCAAGGTTCAGAAGAGACCGATAAGATGATGTAGTCTGATCGCCTCCTTGCCTTGGCCCCCTTATTAGCTTGCTGGCTCAGAGGCCCGACGCTGCTGAGCTCTGATTTTTGGGTGAGGACCCCTTAGGGGACCCAGTGCTGAGCCCAACTCAAGCCCTTGTATCTGTAAGGGCATCAGTCTCAATCCTTGGGGGGCAGATCTCTCCCACGGCCTTGTTTGTTTTCTCTCTGCTCCAGTGGCTTTGTGTCAATGGGAGCTGCCCACTTCCTACTCGCTTTTCCAGGCCTGAGGGTGGCTGGTCTGTGCTATCTGAGGGTGCAGCCCTGTTGGTTTCCATGCTGGAAGCTAGCTCAGTCAGGCACCTCCTTTGGATGGGTTGACCTTTGTGTGCCCCACACCCAAGCCCCCTGGCTGAGTATGAAAGGGAAAGTGACCCCTCCCATGCCCTGTGACAGCATGGGAGTTTCCTTCCTGGCAGGCTGGGCCTGCTCAGTCCCTGCTGTCCTTCCCTGCATGGCATCATTGGTATTTGAGACGCGTGTCCTCAGCTGCCTGCTCCCCCCCGCCCCCGCTCCCCCCCCACACATGCACAGATGGCCTCATTGTGCCCATGACTGATGGCTGAAAGGAGATGCAGACAGTTACATGGCCCTGACATGCTGGCAGTGGCTGGGAGACCACCCAGAGGTGCAGACCCCCAGGGCAGGTAGGCTGTCTGAACCAGTTGGGTGAAAGAAGTGCCCTCTTTTGCTTGCCCTGGAGGCACTCTGTGGTTGCTTAGAGAGAGGTTGTGGGGTGAGTACTCTGAAAGCAGCTTTTGGCTTTTTCCTCCTGTTGACAGTGTGTGGGCTACAGGAGGCTTTTTAAACCCTGTCTGCACTTACAGGGGTTTTCCCTCCACCTCTCATTAGGTTGCAGTACAGGGCTTGATGATGTAGGGCTTTTCCAGTTTTAATAGGGTTCTCAGTATCTCTATCCTTGCTTTGATACCTTGCTTGTTGCTCTTGCCATGACATGCAAATTCATCCTTCCTCCCCCCAGCCTCATAGCCAAGGGACTTAAGGGTTCCCATGTTAGGGTGACGTAATGTGGACTCAGAGCTGTTCCCCTGGTTATTGTAAAGCTGTTATTCTTGGACACCATGGCAACCTGATGGTGGGCACGGCCTCTTCTCTCCCTCTCCGTGGTTAGAGCTGGTGAGGATGGGGGTTGCGTTCCCTGAATCCTAGCGCTGGTGATGTTCTGCACCTGCACGTGTTCTTTGGCTGCCTTACGGGGCCTTCTGGGCTGGGTAGAAATACACCAGACTTCCAGACAGCTTCCTGTGGTCTGGGGGCCTTGCCTTCGCGCGGAAGCGTGGGAGTGGGAAAGTGATCTGGAGAGAAGATTCTGCATCTGCAGTGCTGGGCCCAGGATGCAGCTTTTCTCAGCTCTTGAGTGACTGCCCTTTGTTTAAACTGCAGCTGGATCTATGCCAGAGCATCAGCTCTCAACCTGGAGTCCCTCTGGATCACGTGGCACAGGTTCTCAGCTACTCCTGGCATTGGTGTTACGTAGAGGTCTCTTGGGTCTGGCCTGTTGGCATGGGATTTGTGCGGTTTGTGCTTCCATAGCAACAAGAAGGATTCTACACTGGGCCCAGTTAACTGGGGCAGCTGGAGTTCATGGCCTCACCCTGGGGATGCACGTGACTGAGAATTCACCTATACCATGGGTACCTGATCCCAGGTGCTTTCCTTTACTTGCCTATTCTTGGATTGCGGTTCTAGTGCCTTGAGGTGAGCACTCCTGCTCCAGCCTACACCTGGGAGTGTGTATAGATAGTGTAAGCTTGTGTGTTCTGGTGCGTGCCAGCTTTTCTTTGGGGAAAGGGGCCTTCCAGGCAAGCTGTAGGTCTTCCAAGATAGATGTTGAAGGAGGTTCAAAGGCCTCCATCATTTCTTTCTGTGGACCTTTGTCCGGAGACATCACTGACAGCAGCTCTGGTCCGGGAGCCACCCCTTTTAACAGTGTCTCTGCTCCTGTTTCAGGATTCTGGGGGAGGGCAATACTGGGCTCATGGGCCTGGCAACGGAGTCGACCCCCGGCAAGCGGATCCGCAAGCCGTCGCTGCTCTACGAGGGCTTCGAGAGCCCCACCATGGCATCAGTGCCTGCCTTGCAGGCCCCCCAGGTGAACCCTCCCCCTCCGGAGGTGTCGAACCCCAAGAAGCCAGGCAGGGTAACCAACCAGCTTCAGTACCTGCACAAGGTAGTGATGAAGGCCCTGTGGAAGCACCAGTTCGCCTGGCCCTTCCGCCAGCCTGTCGATGCCGTCAAGCTGGGCCTGCCGGTAATGAGCCTTCTGGTCCGGGTGGGGGCATGTGCTGTCTCCTGGGAGTGTGCGTGCGTGTCTGTCTGTCCCCAGCTGGCCCTTACTGGCTGGGATAGTGTGTAAAGGTACGGGGTGTAGGTCGCAACACCACATAACGCTGCTTGTGCTGTTTGATCTACAATGTGACCCCCAGCTTGAGTCCCAGGGAGAATGCTGTCCCATTCTGGGGTTTCTGCCACAGAGACACAGCTGCAGGTGCCTGGGCTGTGCTGTCCCGCCCTCTCCTGGCCCATGGTATTGGCTTAGCTGGCTCCGTTGTGATAGAACCAAGGTTCTCCCTGTCTGTATTTGGCCTGCTTGGCTTCTCCTGGGAGCTTCCTTGGCAGAGCTGCCCCTCCCTGATGCCCACTACAAAGGTATGGATGAGGTGATGCAGCCGCTTTAGTGAGAACCTGGACGCTTCCCCACCTAATCTCTTGTGCCCTGAATGCGTTTTGCAGATTCCCATCCATGAATTTGTAGAAGACATCATGTGACCCCAATATTAAACGCCAGCCCCCCGTGCACCTGTGGCGCCCAAGGAGTTAAAGCCCGGAGGTAAATTCCATGTAGGTTTGCTCTTCACGTTAGCTCTAGTCTCCCTGATACCCGTCACACACTTCAGGGACCACTGCTCTAGCTGGTCAGCAGCTGCCCCTGTATCGTAGGCTTCCCTTTGCAGAGGTGATCTCCGCTCCTGGGCACTTAGGGCTCCCTCTTAGGCCACAGGGAGTTCCCTGTATGTGGAGCAGAGCTTTGCAAGCACTCCAGGGTGGAGACTGCACCCTTGGGAGCAGTCCTGAACTTGCCATGCTCTGCCCTTTCCCAGGTAACTTCCATGGGGAATGAGATCTGTATGAGTGAGATCCCCTGTGCGTTTGCTCCCCTGGGATGTAATTCTTGTAGCCCTCTTACGCTACTGGCTCTCTGCAAGATGCTTGCCTCTCTCTGCACTGGGTAAACTCTTCCTTGGGAACCCAGGAGTCTTGTCAAGTAGGGAAGAGATGAGGCTAGCCAACTGGCTGTGGGGGCTACTGCTGAAGGCTGTTGTAGAGATGATGGGAATGCCTGAGCTTGACAGGGCTCTGACTGGGCAGGTCAGGTGACTGGGGCCTGTCTGAGCTGGGAGAGGGCTGGGAGTTGTGGAGTGAGTGGCAGGATCTCTGGTTTGCCTAGGCCGTGTGAATGACCTCCCTGCCCCGTGTTGTTCTCTGTTGGCAGGATTATCACAAGATCATCAAGCAGCCCATGGACATGGGTACGATCAAGCGGCGCCTGGAGAACACCTACTACTGGGGGGCAGCGGAGTGCATGCAGGACTTCAACACCATGTTCACCAACTGCTACATCTATAACAAGGTGAGAGTTTCCTCCCCTCAGCAGCTGCCCCCTGGTTACTGGAGGGAGCTCCACTCCTGCCTGGCCTCCTAACCCACCCTCTGTTCCCTCGCAGCCCACAGATGACATTGTGCTGATGGCCCAGACCCTGGAGAAGATTTTCCTGCAGAAGGTGGCGCAGATGCCTCCTGAGGAGCTGGAGATAGTGGTCCCTGTGGCCAAGAACAGCCACAAGAAAGGGGCGTCCCGGGCAGCAGGTAACCAGCTATTTTCTTAGCGAGACTAACAGCGTGGGGCCCTGGAATGGGAGTCAGGAGGTTGCAGCAGCCTGGGTTGTGGGGGCAAACGCATCTCCAAAATGTAGAGGTGACTGTCACCTTGAAAGGTGTGCTATGGGGGCTGTGAGTCAGAACTTCTGGGTTCTTTTCTTGGGTCTGGGGGGGGAGTGGAGTGTAGAGATCTGTGGGCTAAGACATGATGGGAAGTTGGCAGAACATTGGTTAATGGTACTAACTGAGATTCACATTCACCCCAGCTCTCTTGGCGGCTGCAGTCACTGCTGCTCAGCAGGTGCCAGCTGTCTCTTCCGTCTCCCACACATCTGTCTACACCCCGAGCCCTGAGATCCCCACCACTGTCGTCAACATTCCCCATCCATCAGTGATCTCCGCACCACTCCTCAAGTCGCTGCACTCCACCACCTCCCAGCCAGTGCTAACCGTGCCTGCTCCCACCCAGCCTGTGGCCAAGGTAAGTTCTTCCTTGGTGCTGGTCAGGGGTGTGGCTGGGGAGCTGGCGCTGGGAAGGAGGTGAATGAGGGCTGTAAGATGCAGGTAGGGGGAGGTTTGTGGGTAACGCAGAGGTGCCGGCCAGAAACTCAAATCTCTTGTCCATTTGTTTCCCCCCCCCCCCCCCATCCCCCAGAAGAAAGGTGTGAAGCGGAAAGCAGACACCACAACCCCAACCACCACTGCCATCATTGCCACTAGTGGGGAGTCCTCCCCCTCGGCCGCTGTGCTGGAAGCCAAGGCAGCCAAGATCCCTGCCCGGCGCGAGAGCGGGCGCCCCATCAAGCCCCCCAAAAAGGACTTGCCTGACTCACAGCAGCATCAGACGTCCAAGAAGGGCAAACTGACAGAGCAACTCAAATACTGCAATGGCATCCTCAAGGAGCTTCTGTCCAAGAAGCACGCTGCCTACGCCTGGCCCTTCTACAAGCCTGTTGATGCCTCAGCCCTTGGGCTACATGACTACCATGAGATCATCAAGCACCCCATGGACCTCAGCACCATCAAGGTAGGGGCCAAAGGTGGGATGTGATACCCAGGCAGTAGGAAAATATAGCTTGGAGCCTGCCCCGGGAGCCTCACTTCTCTAGGGGACAGCCCAGACGCCTTGCTTGCAAATGGGGTGTCAGCTTGGAAGAGGAATCTATGACTTGCAGGCTATATGGCTGCTTGCTAGCATCGTGTTCATTGCCTTGGACTCAGAGGTCCAGCGATTCAGGAGCCCATGGGAGGGAGGAGCTGGGGTGGGGGAACGCATCTCTACCGCAGCCCAGCCTCACTCTGTTCCATCTTTGGCGCAGCGGAAGATGGAGAACCGGGATTACCACGACGCACAGGAGTTTGCTTGTGACGTCCGGTTAATGTTCTCCAACTGCTACAAGTACAACCCCCCTGATCACGATGTGGTGGCCATGCCTCGCAAGCTGCAGGTGAGTGGGGCCAGGGGCAGGCCAAGCCAGTGCAGTGCAGTTTCTCCTCCTGGGTGGGCCAGCTGTGCCTTGCTCAGTACCAACCTGCCCCTTTCCTTCCCACTTTCTTCAGGACGTCTTCGAGTTCAGCTATGCCAAGATGCCTGACGAGCCACAGGACACCAGTCCCCCATCGGTGTCAGCTCCCCTGTCTGGCACCCTGTCCAAGTCTTCCTCAGATGAGTCCTCCAGTGATGACGACGATGATGATGACGACGATGATGATGAGGAGGAGGAGGATGATGACGAAAGCAGCAGCGAGAGCTCATCTGGGAGTGAAGAAAGCTCTGATTCGGAGGAGGAGCGGGCGAACCGGCTGGCCGAGCTACAGGAGCAGGTGAGGCTGGTCCTGCTTGTCTCGTTGGGGTCCAAGATCTAGTATGGAAAACATGGAAGTGCGTGCAGTATTGCCCCTCGCTCGTCCCTGCCATCGTGCATGGGTTGCATTCAGCTCCACTCCAGTCCTGTCCTGTGCTTCAGCCCCTTGGTGTTCCCTGTTCCTTTGCCTCCCAGGGTTTGGCTAACTCGTCTTTGCCCTGGGCTCCCTTCCTGCCGTGGGGCAGTTGGGTGGGTGTTTAGGGTTTTGTGTCCTCCTCCTGACGTCTTCCTCCCCTTAGGCAGCAGTGGGCATTATGCAGCCCGTGGGCTGGATGTGGCCCGCCAGGCCATTCTATCTGGACCACGGAGCCCCTAAAAAATTTAGAAAATTAATATTTATCTGCCCCTGGCTGCCTGTCATGCAGCCCTTAATGGCTTGCCAAAACTCAGTAAGCAGCCCTCTGCCCAAAATAATTGCCTGCCCTTGCCTTAGAGTGAACAGTTGCTACCTGAAGCCCTCATGGGGCTGGGTGACTATAGCCAGCTACGGTGCCTACCCAGGGCAACTGTCTCCTCAAGCAGAAGTAGCATAGCTGCCTCTCCAGCCCCTGGGCAGCTTCATTTGGCAGTGCTGGCTCACCTGCCCGCAGTGTCACGTGGGTGTCTGTGAGCCTTCATGGAGCAGCATGGGGTTTGAGGGTGGCAGAACAAGCTGAACCCATATAGACATGGCTGGAGTCCAGCACTAGCTACCTCTCCCATGGTCTGTGCCCCTCCTGCAACTGACATCTTTTCCTCTTCCTTCTTCCAGCTGCGGGCTGTGCATGAGCAGCTAGCTGCCCTGTCGCAGGGCCCTGTCTCCAAGCCCAAGAAGAAACGGGAGAAGAAGAAGAAAAAGAAGTCGGAGAAGCACAAGGGCCGGGCAGGTGATGACGAGGCACGGGCCCGCCAGGCCCAGCTCAAGAAGGCCAAGAAGGCAGGGGGCGGTGGAGGGGCCAGTGGCGCCAGCAGCAGTGGCAGTTCCAAGTGAGTGGGCAGAGAGGAAGGAGCAGGGGTTTCCGTGCCTAGTCTGGTGGGCATGAGGTGGTGGCAGGAGCAGCTGTGTGATGACTC